GAACGCCCGCAGAAAAAAAACGCTAAATTTCTTAAGGTTAAAATAATCTCCATATTTTTATGAGCATGATAAATGCATTTGCACAACGAAATTACGCCAAAGCACAGAAGAGGCCAGACAAAGAGAGATCTTGATGCGCATTTGCGTAATTACGAGGAGAAATACTGCAGCCCACTAGGCTTTAAATAGAATAATGCAAACCATATAAATGGGAAAAGATATATGAAATTATTTCTATAGTCAGCCGCTTAAAAATGATCATCGTTGGCAGCTTTAGGCCCAATGCTGCGCTGCTCAAAACACAGGTAAAATGTGTTCTCTCGTGGCCGCTTGTTTTCAGTATGACGGGGGAGTCACCTTTTTTATTTAAAGTTCGAGTGAGAGGCAAATCAAATGTCAGAGGGTCTTCGTCCATATTTATTACTTCATCTGGGCTGATGGAATTCTCCGCTATCTTTGTTTGTGTGAATGTGCGGAACAAAGCAAGTTTGTCCTCGTAATTGGGAGGGAGCTGCTGACACAACGTCGTGCGTGCCCTAATAGACAGGCTTCCATTTCATGAATCTATAACACCACGACGGCCCACCTTTAAAACCTTTGAAAGCTTTGGTTGTCTTTTTACACTGGCTCAGTTCTTCTTGCCGGAGCCTCCACCTTCGCACCATCGACTCGTCTATGCCAAGATTACGGGCAGCAGCTCGATTTCCTTCTTTAACTGCCAGAGTGATCGCTTTTAGTTTAAAAGCTGCATCATATGCTTTTCGTCTGGTATTCTCCATTTTGATCAGGGTTAGAACAAAGACTGAAATAAGGAAGTTGTGATTACCGGTAATCATACAATTTCATTGGACCCCTGTGTACTACTCATTCATTTTATTGGTCGACTGTTGCCGGGTAACACATTTTTCCCCCGCTACGGCAAAAAGAGCGGAAGTTGTGATTAGTCATACAATCTCATTGGACCTCAGTGAAAGACTCATTCATTTTATTGGTCCATGTTTTTCCCGCGATGAAAAAAAAAAAAAAAAATTAAAAAACTGCTTCATATTACACGGCGCAGTGTTGAAAGTGTGGAAAACAAGTAGCGGCATGTAATCCGGAATTTACGGTATATGTACAGTTATTCAATTGTGTCAGACAATGGGCTTTACAATATCAATGACTAAATCTATGAGAACTGACAACCCACAGGAATTCATTTCCATATTTATATTTTCATATTTATAAACGAATACATTCCTACTTTTATATATTCTGAATCTCCATTCTTTTCAACCCTTTGAGGGACAGCGGTTACGACAGTGGACAGCTGATCATGTTCTGAGGTTACAGGGTGGATGAAAAGGTTAAATTATATCAAGAACCTTAGTATGGGAAAGGTATGACAGTGTAACAATTCTGCATAATGTTCAGTGTCTAAATAAATTTTTGATTTATTTAGGCTATATTCTACCTCTCTGATTTCATTTCTAACCAGCATTGAAATTAATATATTTTAGCTAAGATGCATTTTCATAACTGGCGGCGAGCCATCTCGCCCCACTGCGGCGTCATACATGAGAGGCATCTGCCACTCCTTCCTGTGCCACTGTAGTGTGTATCTGGTATTATATACAAATGTCCGTTGTGCATTATAACCCTTTGGTTTTTATAACGTTATTTTGATGTGTGTTTAGTGTTGGTGTAACGATGGCGACACCAAGTCTTGTGCTTCAAAGCTGCATGACGTAACAGGTAAACATGGCGCATCCATCACTATTGTGTTTTTTTTTCTCCCCAAGCCGAAGCTACTGCATACCCGTGTTGACTAGAAATTTACAATGTTGTCGCTCTGCATAAACGTTGCACTCTGATAGACAACACATGGGACATCAGTTTTACCACGGACATATGGACGTCTCATATGAGCCCAGTGACAATGGCTAGTTGAGGACTACAACATTCAAAAGACGACACTACATTCAGAAAAGTTGTTGAGTTCCGAATACTTAGTATTTTATTTTTTTAAAACTCTGCTAGTTCTAATCCAGTCAAATCTCGTTTTTCGAATCTCTCTGTTCTCGACCAAATCGGTTTTCGACCAAAAATTTTGAGTTTTTTATGCCTCGGATTATGACCGAAAATCAGTTCTCGACCAAACTGAGCGCACTTGAATGCGCCATTCGACTCCTCTCGCCGTCCTTACATGAGGAAGTGACGCTTCCTTGTGTAGCGTTCCATTGTGAGCGAATGTATTCAATAAAGATTTAACACAAAAAAAGAGCGTCCGATGTGAGCAGACGTGTTCAATAAAGATTTTTTTAAAAAAGCATTGTGTTTGTTGACATCTACGCAAATCGGACTGTTATTTCTGCATTGTGTATCAGCCCCTAATCATGGCACCAAAGAAAGCAAGTGGAAATGGTAAAGCTGGTGAAAAAAGAGGAAATTAGTGCGCAAAACTATTGAATTTAAGAAAGATTTGATAGCGAACTATGAATCAGGTGTACGTGTGTCTGTGTTGGCTAAGGAGTTCGGCATGCCGAAATCAGCAGACAGACCATCATAAAGTCAGTGATGTGGCTAAAGTATCTCGTGTGTTAAGTGAACAAAGGCCACAAATATTAGAGGTAGTGGAGAAACGTTTGCTGATTTTCATAATGAGAAACAGCTAGCAGGGGACAGTCTTAGACAAGATATGAATTGCGGCAAAGCAAGACAATTGTATGGAGATTTGTAAAAAAGGATCCTTGCATTGCTCCTGAGGAGTTTGATTTTAAAGCAAGCAGAGAATGGTTTGAAAAGTTTAGGAACAGAAGTGGGATACTCTCCGTGATTCGTCATGGGGCGGTTGACAGTTCAGACAAGGAAGCTGCCGAAAAGTTTAAAGTTTAAAGTTGAGTTTGAAAATCTCATCAAGGCCGAGGAATATCTTCCCCAGCAAACTTTTAATATGGACGAGACTGGACTTGTGTGGATAAAACGGTTCAGAAAATGGATGGAGGGATGTTACCTTTTACCGTAGTGTTGGGGTGCAGAGAGAGAGTCCATAGTTACAGCCATTACTTTAGGGTTTATTAGTTCAAGGTGTAAAATAATGTAATCTACAATTGTCATGATGAGAGAGAGAGCGAGAGAGAGAGAGATGTTACTTGAATTAAATGTTACAATGTTAATGTTTGTTAAAATTGGTAAAAATAAAACATACAAAATGTTTGTACAGTTTGTTTGTACAGTATTTTACATATTACATGCTCTCTTATTACATGTGTATACCGTTTGTGGTGTCAAATAGTAAAAAAAATGCTTTTAAAAAGTTTTCTAGACTTGGAACAGATTAAAATTTATTACATTGATTATAACGGGAAACATGGTTTCGGTTTTCGAATAAACCGGTTTTCAAACAGCCTTCTGGAACGGATTATAGTCGAAAACCAAGGTATGACTGTACTTTTGTTTTGGTGTATTTAAAATAATAATAATAATAATAATAAAGCACCCAGAACAATATAGTTAAAGTACCGAACAATAACCAGTATCATTAAAGGGGAAGTTAACCCCAATAATCTATTCTATGCAGCTTCACTGCATTCTGATTCATATTGCATTTTTGGGAATATGAGTTAAGCAGCGGAATCCACCCATTTTTAGCCATCCAGTTGGCCGCCATTTTCCCACTTTCTGTCGGCCAAAACTGACTTCACAGCTGCTCAGGGCCAGGCAAGGACCAATCTGACTCACCGTTTTTTTGTAGCTCAGCAATGATTGGTCGTAACCTGAGCCCTGCACAAGTGTGATGTCATTTTCAGTCGACACCAAGTGGTAAAATGGACGTCCCTTGAGATGGACAAAAATGGTTGAATTTTACTGCTTATCTTATATTCCAAATACACAATATTAATCAAAATGTGTTTAGACTAGCGGGGCAGCAAAGAGAATTTTAGGGTTGACTTCTCTTTTAAGAGTAGTGGTATTATTAAATTCTTAAAAATGGCAACACACAGACTTCGTAATGCAATTAGATGTCATTTTTGCTTGTTACATTCCACCGTCAATATACCACATTATATTCATGTCACTCACCCCAGGAATAAAGAATGGTTTTGTTCTCGGAGGTACACCATGATTATTTAACACTACTTGTGTATTTCTGGCAAGTTGCGTGCCAGATGTAGGGACTTATACACATTTTTATGTGTGGATGTACTGTGTACACGCCTAGTCACTTTCGCCGTAAAGACAAAAAAAAAAAAAAAAAAAAAAAAAAAAAAAAAACAGAAAAAGCTGACGAAAA